TCTCTCTCTCTCTCTCTCTCTCTCTCTCTCTCTCTCTCTCTCTCTCTCTCTCTCTCTCTCTCTCTCTCTTCTGCATCCCCCCCTCTATGCTCCCGCCGATAATCCTAATGTCTTTGCAATTGCTCGTGTATGATCAATAAAACAAACTAATGTGATATCGCAATATTTTACTCTACCTGCAGGTTTCTCAAGATGGAGAGCGTGGTTGTGGAATAAAACAGTTTGCGACCAAAAAACACGAAAAACTTTTGCATAAAACTTTTGAGGTTATGAAAATTGTTGCCGGCAAGAAACAAAAGCAAATCGCAAAAATGTTGATCCTGCCAAGGACGTGAAAGCAAAAGCCAAGCGATTACAAATATGTTCAGCTTAGAAAAACTACGTGGCCGTGAGAATTTCGCTACCTGGAAGTTTAGCATAAAAACTTATTTGGAACATGAGGATCTATGGCAGTGTGTGGAACCGAGTCCTGGCAAAAATGTTGATCCTGCCAAGGACGTGAAAGCAAAAGCCAAGCTGATTCTCTTACTAGAGCTTCACAATTATGTGCATGTTCAGGATTGCCATACCGCCAAGGAGACGTGGGACAGCCTTCAAAAAGCTTTTGATGACAGCGGATTAACCAGGAAAGTAGGCTTCTTGAAGGACTTGATCACGACCACATTGGACTCCAGCAACAAGAAGAGTACCTTAGCAAGATTATTAATACCGCTCATAAGCTGCGGAATATAAATTTCAATTGTTGACGAGTGGCTTGGCACGTTGATGTTGGCTGGTCTTCCAGACATGTATAATGATGATAATGAGATTTGAAAGTTCAGGTACAAAAATCAGTGCTGACCTGGTAAAAACAAAGCTTCTCCAGGAAGTGAAGCTCACTGACTTCAGTACAGCATTCTACTCAAACTTAGCCAAAGGTAAGCCGCCACAGAAACTGAAAGGACCGGGATGCAATAAGTATGGGCACTACGCAAGGTTTTGTAAAAATAAAAAAACAAAAAGACAAGGGAGAGAGCTCAAGTTTCGCCGTGATCTTCACAGCGACTGTTGGAGAACCGAGCAATTCATGGTTTATAGACTCCGGTGCATCCATGCATATGACATGCAAAAGGGAATGGATGTACAATGTCACGAAGCCATCCATGAAGAATATAACAGTAGCCAACAGAGAACCATTGCCTGCAAAAGGAGTTGGAAGTATCAACATATACTTAGATGGAGACAACAAAATTCAGATAAACAATGTTTTGTATGTACCTGTCCTAGCTGCCAACCTGCTTTCCGTCAGCACTATTGTCAAAAATGGACACAGGGTTACTTTTAATGAAAAGGGATGCGATATTCATAATGATCAAGGAAAATGAGTATGTTCCGCAACATTGAGTAATAACCTATATGTACTCAACAGTAAACAAAATTATTATGAAACTGCCCACTTAACCTCTGATGATGACAAATTCAATGACACTTACCTGTGGCATCTACGAATGGGTCATTTAAATGCCACAGATGTGAAGAAGCTGCCAAGTTGTGCTGAGGGTATGACTCTGGCTCTGGATAAAAATAATGTCACCACCTGCATCCATTATCTTGAGGGAAAACAAGCGAGATTTCCCTTTAACAATGTTGGTTCCCGAGCCACAAAACCGCTAGAACTAATCCATTCTGATTTATGTGGCCCTATGGAAAATCTGTCACATGGAGGTATGAAATATTTCATAACATTTATTGATGATTATACTTGGATGGTACATGTATATTTCATGAAAGATAAAATGAATGTTCAGGAGACATTTAGTGACTTTAGGATGAAAATAGAGAATAAACTTGATAAATAAGGTAAAAGTTATCCAAACCGACAATGGCACTGAGTATTGTAACAGAAACTTTGAGGCTTATCTGTCCAAACGTGGAATTACTCATCAGAGTAATATATCACCTCCACTCCGTACACTCCTCAGCAAAAGGCATGGCTGAAAGAATGAACCGTACTTTAATAGTGAGCCAGATGCGTGCTGTTCTATGCTGATTTAGAGAAACGTTTGTGGGCTGAAGCTATAGCTACTGCTACATATGTTGTGAATCGTTCACTGATTAAAGCTTTAGGAGGCAAAACCCTTTATGAAATGTGGACTAGTAGGAAGCCTAATCTGTCTCACATAAGAATATTTGGTTCTGCTATGGTTTACATACCGAAAGAGAAGCGCCAAAGGTGGGACAGAAAATCGGCCAAGATGACACTAGTGAGATAACACAAAAGGATACCATTTATGGGATGCCAAAACTTATAAAATATCAGCATATAAGGAGCAAGAATGTTATTTTCTTCGAGAAGTACAATAAGAATAGCATTCTAACATCATGAAAACAAGATTTCAGAAAATGTATCTGTCCAGCAAACCCTACTAGTAAGCAACACCAGCCCACCAGTCAGCAGTATAAACCTGCCAGCGAACAGCACGTACCAGTGAGCAGCACAAGCACATCAGTGAGAACAATCTCTCAAATAAGAGATGAGGGATCAGAAATTACCTGTATCAACCATACAAATCACTCCGAAGAGTCTGCTATTTCTTTAAATCCCAGAATAATGTCCAGAAATAACACAGACTTTGAAGAAGCTGATGGTAAAGGCTCAAGTGAATATGAAACTGATACAGATGAATCTGATACTACCTATCATCCTCCTGGGCACACACAACCAGCGCCATCTATGGATAGTCAAATGACACTAAGACTGCGGGATAGAGGACGTAACCTCACAAGAGCCGTCGGTTGCACCAACTTGACTGATCCACAGACAGTAGAAGAAGCACTATCATCTCCACTCGCATCAGAATGGTGTAAGGCTATGGATGAGGAATATAATTCCTTGATGAAGAATCAAACTTGGAGCTTGACTGACTTACCTTCCGGTAAAAGGGCTTTACCTTATAAGTATTTAGATCAAAAACCAACCAGAGTGGAAATGTTGTTCGCTACAAAGCCAGACTTGTAATAAAAGGATATGCACAGAAGAAGGATACTGACTATGAGGAAATATACTCACCGGTAGTAAGGTATACAACAATCCGATATCTGTTTGCCCTAGCTGCCATTTAGTCTACAGATTGATCAGATGAATGCTGTATCCGTATTTCTTCAAGGAGAAATTGACACAGACATGCTACAACCGGAACTATATGAGCAAGATTCATGTATGCCATTTACATAAATCAATATATGGACTAAAGCAAGCAAGTCGACTCTGGAAATCAAGCTAAATAATGTCTTACAAAAAATAGGAATGAAACAATTGAAGACAGATCCATGTGGGTACCGCAATATGGAGAAAAATCTTCATTGCTGTATGTGTTGATGATTTAATTCTATTTATTTCTGAAAAGAGTACAAAGAATATGCTGAAGGACAAACTGAAGGAATTTTTTGAGATGAAAGATCTTGGAGAAGCAAGCCAAGTTATCGGATTAAACATAACAAGAAAGGGAGACAAGATCAGACCAAGAAAAATATATTATGGAGATACTAGCCAGAGGAATGACAGACTGTAAACCTGCAAAGATGCCTATTGAAGCTGAGTTAAAATTCAATCAAGATACAGAAAAAGAAATTTATGACTGCCCATATCAACAAGCTATTGGCTCATTACTGTATTTGGCTCAGAGCACAAGATCTGAAATATCATTTGCAATAAATACATTGAATAGATTGAATAATGAACCGAAGTCTGAACATTGAATTGCTATTAAGAGAGTGTTAAGATACTTACAGAGTACAAAACACCTCAAATTGACATATACCAGATATGGTAACACGAATATCACAGGTCACTGTGATGCGGAAGGCGAGTAACCTCTGTGACCGAAAATCGTGCACGGGTTATATTTTTATGTTCCAGGAAGGCAATTTCTTGGTCCTCACGCAAGCAACAGACTGTGGTCCTGTCTACGGCTGAGGTCGAGTACATGTCCATGTCCTCTGGAGTGCAGGAGGCGCTGTGGCTCCGGCAACTTCACACCGAGCTGGGTCAACGGCAGAACAAATTCCTCACGATCTTCAGTGACAACCAAAGTGCCATAAGACTATCTGAGAGTGATTGTTATTTACCTAGGTCTAAACATATAGACACTCGCCATCATTTTCTTAAGGATCATGTTAATAATTTAGAGATAAAGTTCTGTTATGTTAGAGATAACGAAATGATAGCGGATACATTAACTAAGAGGACTACTATTGATAAGTATTTGTATTGTGTAGCAAAAATAGGATTGCGTTCAGGGAGGGATGATGTATTGGAACAGCAACCCCATGTTTGACTTTTGTACCGCGCGGCGGCGCCATCCTTTTTTGCTCTCTCTCTCTCTCTCT